CATGATGTAGTCCAGGCTGGTCTCGAACTCACAATGATCCTCCTGCCTCAGCCTCCTGAGTGCTGGGATTACAGGCGTGCGCCACCACGCCCAGCTCCACTTTTTTTTTGTACTGGGGATTGAACTCAGGACCTCGCGCTTGCCAGGCATGTGCAGTGCCGATGAACTACATTCCTGGCCCCAGCTTTAAAGTTTTTATTTTTTAAGATTTTGAGACAGGGTCTTGCTAAGTTGCTTAGGATGGGCTCAAGCTTGCAATTCTCCTGCCTCAGCCTCCCAGAGTACAGGATTACTGGCATGTGCTGCTGTACCAGGCTAGAATTTCCTATTATAAGTTCATTTCCTCTGTATGTAGAAAGAGTTTTACTACTATTTTTTGGTATTCCTGGAAATTGAATCCACAGCCTCACATATACTAGTTAAACAACCTGCCACTGAATTACAATCCCAGCCCTTTTAAATTCATCTTTATTTTTTGGTGTTTTAAGGCAAGGTTTGCAGACTGAAAACTTGAGACTCAAATTTGAGAGCCTCCTGCCTCAGCCTCCCGATCAGAACTCTGACAACACTTGCCTTTAAACTGCTGAGCAGTGGCTGTTCTTTAAGAATGGCTTTTGCTCTCTGGTTTGCTTCCGTCCCACCCCTCCCCTTTGTATCTTCCGATACCAGCGCTAAAAATTGGGCACCATCTGTATCACACTTATTCTTGGGTCCCTTTAGGTTAACTATATGGCAACTGTAAACATTTGAGTTGAGGTTACCTGGTTGACCCCGACTGAATCTTTGCTCAGCTGTAAAACAGGGAAAGTGATAATTTTTACCTTGGAAGATTTTTGAGGAAGATTAGATGAGATAACGGTAGAGAGGTCTGGCATATAGGAGGCATTGAAGAAATTACCTCCTGCTTTTTCCTGGCTACAGACTATTCCGGTGCACATTTGTCCGTAACATGTAGCACTCCTCCAACAGTGGGCATGCTCCTGGTCTTCCGGTCCCTGCCACTCGGGAAAGTGGCAGGCGGTGATGCGTAGCTGATACATTGGCCCCAGCAGTGTGACCCTCCTCTTGTCAGTAGGTAGGATGATCTCAGATGTGTATCTGGAATTTTGCCCACAGAACTGGAAGGTCATGGTGGATGCAGGGGAGGATGCAAGAGTCCCCAGACCCCTTTGCAAAGCTGGGAGCTGGTCATCCTTTTGCCTCCTTCCCCGCTCTGAGGTGTGAAGCCAGAGCCCACTCAAAGCATCCGACAGACCCACAGCTAGGCTGATGGAGGAGATAAGCAAGAGGCAGTGGGCGGGAGGTGTTAACCACCCAGGCGCTGAGCAGAGAGCCCTGGAGCCGGTCCCAGCCAGTAGCTTCCCCCACAAGCCCAGGATGGATGGTGCCGACATCTCCTGAAGCCTTTGCTTACTGTTCTTTCAAAGTAGCCAGCAACAGGGCTCCTGGATTGGTGCCCCCAGCCAGCCGAGCACTCTGCTGGCTTGCCTCAAAGCCAGAGGCGGCCGTGGTTATGGGCTGAAGAAGTTTTTGAGGTTCTCAGAGAGGAAGTGGGACTTTGGCTGTGGTTCTGTTGCCTCTTACTGCAGAAGTCAGCCCGACCCTGGGCTCTGCTTTGTCCCCTCCAGCCCTGCCTGATGTAGTAATGAGCCTGATGTTTGCACCGTTCTCCATTTCACCCAAGAAACCTTCTGACTGCTGGACTATGAATTCCAGGGTCTGGGTCATATTCTAACTTGCTGGCTCATGTTCCAGAAACTACGGCAATGCCACGTAACATAGCTGTCACTCAAGTGCTGTTCTGACTATGGTTTTCTCATTCGTAAAATCGGAATAACATCATCCATCTGGCAGGGTCACCGTGCAAGGTAGCAAAGATGTCAAAGTGCTTTGCCTGGTTGAGCAGAGGGGCATGGTGACACACTCTTGTGATCCCAGCACTTGGGCGGCTGAGGCAGCAGGACTGCCACAAGTTCAAGGCCAGCCTGAACTACACAGCAAGACCCTTTCTCAACCCCACCCCCAAAAAGTGCTTTTCCTGGTTGCTGGCTCCCAGACAGGGGCCTAGCACTGCAAACTACTATTGTGATGGTGTGGACAGTAGGGTGGGGCCAAGCCTGCTTTTCATGAGGGATTAATGGTGACTGAACCCAGGGCTTTCTGGCTGAGCTACATCCCTAGCCTATTATTACTATTATTTTTATTTTTATTGTTTTGGTACTGAGGATCGAATTCAGGACCTTGCACTTGCAAGGCAGGCGCAGTGCCGCTGAGCTAAGTCTCCAGCCCTATCCTCCTTCTCCTCCTCCTCCTCCTCCTCCTCTCATCATCATCTTGAGACAAGGTCTTATTAAGTTGCTAAATTAGATAAGAAAAAAATATGAGAAAATGAAAAAAAGGAAATAAAGTGTTTGTAAATGGGGAGGGGAGGAAGGGGTGAAGGGAGGGCAGGGACAAGGGGAAAAAATGAGAACCAAGACCTGTCACGTAAAGGTACAAGATCCCAGTAATGAATGTAACTGTACTGTATACCTAAAATGTACCAATAAACTCAATAAAAGAAAAAAAAGTTAAAAAAAGATTATCATTGCATGCATGTGTTACCTTGCAATTAATGGGCTGAAATTTTTAGGAAAATAATTCAGAAGCTAAAATACATTCTAGAGAGAATAAAGTTGTGTATAATAAAGTGATGATAAATAATATCTCCTTTTAAAATTATTGTTGCTTTCAGTCTCCTAGATGACAGGAGTACTGATTAAAGATGTCTTCTAGGCTGAAATAAATAAAAATAAATAAACAAATTGCTCAGGCTGGGACCAAGCTTGAGATCTTCCTGACTCAGCCTGCCAGAGTGCTGGAATTACAGGTGTGCATCGCCATGCTCAAGTGCTGCCCAAATTCCAATCTTCCCAAGTGAGCCAGGAATACTCATCACCAATTTAACACTTTTAGAAAGCTTCTTCTAGACACTTGCCCAACTAGGCAGAGGATGACGTGACAAAGGAACAGTCACCACTTTGGACTGCGTGCTTACTTTGGGCCAGGCAAGCATCATTTTAAGGGATTTACATGGACTTTCTATCTTTCTTCCATTCATTCTTTCTTCTTTTTGGTACCGGGGATCAAACTTGGGACCTTGTGCTTGCGAGGCGGGAGGTGGAACCACTGAGCTAAATCCCCAGCCCTCTTTCTTTCCCTCTCTCCCTTCCTTCCTTCCTTCCTTCTGGTACTGGGGATTGAACTCAGGACCTTGCACTTGTGAGGCAGGCACAGTGCCACTGAGCTAAATCCCTCTTTTTCTTTTTCTTTGAGACAGGGTCTTGCTGTAAAGTTCAGGCTCACTTGAACTCACTATGTAGCCCAACCTGGCTTCAAATTTATGATCCTCCTGCCTCAGCCTCCTGAGTGCTGGGATTATAGGTGTGCGCCATCACACCCAGCTACCTGAAATATTCTGAGGAGTCCTGGAAAGAACTCTATGAGGTAGATTTTGCTTTATGAGGAAGAGGGGTTAAGTGATTTACTATAAATTCACTCAGATGGGATTAAGCTCAGCAAAGCTAATTTTTTTTTTTTTGGAAGTATGGAGATGAAACCCAGGGATACTCTACCACTGAGCTACTGCTCTAGCTCTTTTTATTTTGAAATGAGGTCTCACAAATTGCCTAGGATGACTTTGAATTTGGGGTCTTCCTACCTCAGCCTTCCACGTAGATTATAGGCATAAAGTTAATATTCCTTTTTTTTTTTTTTTTTTTTTTTTTTGTACTGGGGATTTAACTTGGGTCCTTGCACTTGCAAGGCAGTTTGCGGAACCACTGAGCTAAATCCCAGGCCCTAAAGTTAATATTCTTTATTCTTTTTTTTTTTTTTCTTGAGACAAGGTCTTGCTGTGTATTCAGGCTGGTCTGGAACTCATGGAAATCCTCCTGCCTCAGCCTCCCAGGTTCTGGGATTACAGGAGTACACCACCACATCCAGTACTAAAATTAATATTCTTTTTTTTAATTAATAAAATTTATTTTTAGAGCAGTTTTGGGATCACGGCAAACATGAGCAGAAAGGACCAAGTTAACACTGACTTCTCATCTTCACATAAGCATAACAATGCCCTACTATCTACATCCTGCAAATGTACAGTGGTACATAAAATTAATATTCTTAAATATTCTGCAGGGACTTAAACATTCTGGACTCTGAGGGAGCTCCTTTCCAGCCTTTTGTTGAAGAGGGAAAAACTGGAGTCTACCTCTGTGTCCATTGGTAAGGGAATGCTACATAACACACATCCATTCCCCACAGTGAAACAGTGCATAGTCGGGAAAACGCAAGAGGCAGACAAGTGTGTAGATAGCATGACATGATGGCCACCATGCACTGCTTGATGGGGAAAGCAACAGAACAATACAGATTGTGTGGTCGCATGTTTATCGAAAAACAAAACTTTTAGAAATCCATTTACCTGTTTGCTGATCACAGCGAACTGTGGAAGGATAAACCCGAAGCAGTTCACAGTGACCACTGGACTAGGTGGAGGAGGGGAGCGTCCATTTCTTCCTTTCACAGTTTCTGTTGTCCGAAAACTACCACCAGCACGTATCATTTTGTAATTCACAGAAGAGGGATGGAAGGAAGTGGGCAGGAGGACCGGGAGACTGAGGACCCTGACACCTCTAGCCTGGCCCCTGCTCCAGGGGCGCCTCCTCTTCAGAGGGCTCCCTGTGTCCCCTATTTGCCCCACAGGCAGCTCAACTCCACTTCCCTTTCAGGCCCACTCTGGTCTCTGAGGACATTCTTAGCCTGGCGCTCTCTTCTAGGCTTCGGCAATTGCTCAAGCTTCCCTGTTAGAAGGCCACGGTTCCTACCCTGTGCTTCTGAGGGGATGGGACAAGGTGACATCACAGGCCTGTGACATCATAGCTAGGCCTGTGATGTTACAGAGCATGGAAGCCAGCAGGACGGGATCTGGGAGATCCTGGGCTCAGGAAGAGACTGGAGTGGGAACTTGAGGGCTGCATCCTCAGCCCACCTCCTAGGACATTTCCTAGCTGAGCAGGGGACTTTCAGGATTGGTGACTTAGAAGCTCCTATAGCCACTTCTCTTTCTGTTTTCTAAGCAATCATAATAGTAACTTTTCTGAGCATTGGGGGCTGTGCCCCCAGAAGGGGTGGAGTTGGCAGATGGAATCCAAAGGTGTGTGGATCCCCTTGGAGGTCTGGGTACCAGGGACCCTCGCTCCCCCGTGATCCTCAGAAAGGCTTGCTGGGAGTTTGGGAGGCCTCCAGCTTTGAAGAGTGGAGTTTTGGCGAACCCAGACTGCAAAGAGATCATGGGAAGAGCTCCTCCATTAATTGGAAGGATATGAGGGGGCCCCTAGGGGTAGGGGTTGGGGAAGGCTAAGAGGGTTGTCTTGGTATTGGTAGTGGGGCCTCAGAAGAAAGGCTCTGAGAAGCAGACGTGACGGCATGGGTGTGGTAATGAGGGCGGCTGAAATTGTCAAGAGATGGCAAGATCTGAGGTTTGGCACTAGAGACCTCTGGGATGCTTGCTGTGTGGCTCTGGGTGAATGGCTCACTCTCTCCCAGCTCCTGTGGATCATGGGAATGAATAATAAAACCAACTACACAGGATTGCTGTGAGGATTAAGTGAGATGAAGCATTTGGGGTCCCTTGCACAATTCCAGACATGTAGTAAGTAAACAGCTTGTAAAGCTAGCTATTTACACCGGTCCTTGTCTATTCTAGCCTGAGCCTGGTTGCTTCACCTTCTATTCCGGACACGTATAATGTGGGATTCTTGGTTGTAAGCTCATGGAAGCCATTTCAAGAGGATTTAAGAACGGAATTTGAGAAGATGCCGGGGAAGCATACAGAGGGCCTGGGAAGGTTGCAGAGCAAGGCTTGGAGAACAGGTTGGATCAAGGGAGTCTGGCAGCAGCTAGGACCACAGCCAAAATCCTGCCCCAGGACCAGCCCAGCAGGGACTTGGCAGCCCACGCTGAACCCTGTTCTTACCTCCTCTGACCTGGCAGCCCCATGTACTGCCTTGTTCACAGAGTGGAGGCCCCACTACCTGCCCCTCGGGGCCGCTGTCTTCAGCTTCACAGCATGGAGCATCTGAGCCACCTGGTCTGCGTGTGCCTGTATTGTGTGCTGGGCAGGGGAGGTTAGAATTAAACATCTGGCCATTTTGGCTTTGCAGTGGGAGGTGCTTTCTGCTTCCCTCAGTGCAGGTTGTGGGCCGTGCTCTGATGCTGGACATCCAAAACACCTGGCAAATGTCTACACGAGAAACAAAAATGAGCAGAGAATGATCCCTGTCCTTGAAATATTCACAGACACGTAGGGACAAGTTACACGGCAAACGGTCGTGACAGGAAGGGATGGAGGCCATGGTGGAGGTCAGTGCCAGCCCCCAGGCTGAGTCGGTAGGAAAACACTGTCATGTGGTCCTGGAGCGCAGCGGATAGTCTGAGGTGTCCCTGCATGTCCCAGGCCACCTTGGTAGCACAGTTGGGATGGGGTTGAATGACTGAGTGGAACTGTGTCCCTTAGGAAACTTGGACCCACTGGGTGAGGACTGTGTCTTCCTGGGCCAGACCCAGTCACAGGAACTCAGGTGAGGCCCCCAGGGCCCTCTCGTGCTCGTGGAAAAATGAAATGGCTCAACCTTCCCATTTCTTGTCCTGCCTTATACCCATTTTGTTGTGTCCTCGAATTATCTCTTGCCCTCTTGGGACCTCAGCCCTCTATTGGATTTGAGGATAGAATTTCTCATGATCAGAGATCTGCGATGGGACGAGGAGGAGGAAGTTGGGTTTGCTCTGTACCGGACCTCTGCTCTGTGAGGCCGGCTTCATGCTCTGTGCTCCGTCTCACCCCCATCTTCCTATGTGGCCTGTCCTAGCCTACGACCATATCTGCCTTTTCTGTCACCGTCTCTGCCTGCTCCTGACCCTGACGGTCACCATCACTGTCTTCCCTGTCATCACCTCCGCCTGTTGCTGTCTCAGGTTGGCCTGTCTGCATCCTCAGAACTCCGACTCCAGCCTTTGAACCCTGCTATGTCCCTCTCCAGCTCAGCCATCTGGGTTCTCTGAGAGCAGATAACACCTTACCACCATGAGGCGTTTACAGTCACGCACCCGTACTCTGAGGTGCCATAGCTCAGTTCGCTACAGTCTAACCCCACAAAGTCGTCCTGTAGAGTTGCCACGGGAGGTAAAAGGTGGGTGGAGGGCTCCCCCTTGTCAGGTCTCACCCAGCCCCCAGGCCTGCCTGACTGCCCCCCCCCCTTCCGATTTGAAGCAACTTCAAACGTAGCACCTTCCTGTCATCTCTCATACCCACTGGGGCCTCAGTCACAGGCAGCTGCTGTCCTCCTGCCCACCCTCTTCCTTCCTCAGGCAAGAGGACTGCTGCAGAGCCAGGTGCCGAGACACACAGGTCACCTTTGGGCTCACAGCACTTGAGGCCTGAGGTAGGTTTGGGGAGGAGTCAGCCAAGAGGGAAAGGAAAAGGGGCTTTGGAGGGCTGAGGCCCTGGCATGAGGGTTTTAGGATCTGGGGCATTTGAGGTTAAGGATGAAGAGGGTGGTCATGGGGAGGGGCTGTTTTGGACATTTGGTGAGCTGAGGTGGTCCCTCGGCTGTGTGGCCTCAAAATGGAAACTGGCAAAGAATCCAGGTGCTGACTAAGCAGATAGAGAGCACTCAGAGTGTCTGTCAGGGGGCCAGGGGATCCCTGGGGACTTTCAGCTCACTCAGACTTCCTCTCTGGTCAGGGAGTGGGGCCTTGGGCAGCCTGGGTGACAGGGCACTGTGGCTCTTCAATTCTCTGTGGCCCTGAAGAATATGCATGTTTCCTGGAAACCTCCAGCTGGCTTGCTGCCTGGCTCTGCAGCAGGACTTATGGCTGGGGAAGGAGGGCAGTGGGTGGGCAGCAGCTGCCTGTGAGTGATGCCTCAGTGGGTGTGAGGTGATGGGAGGGTCCTTCCTCTCTCAGGCCACCTCTGTGCATCTCTACTGCTTGATTAATTTTCATTTAATCCCCTTTCTATGCTTACTAGAACAACACTGACTTCTAAATATCAGAACTACAGGAGTCCTTACATATCAACTAGTCCAAACCTCAATTTTGCAGATAGGGAAACAGGAGAGGAGGGAAACTTTGAGGGAGAGCCCTTCCTAGAAGCTAGGCTTGTACCTGGAGAATCTTCACAGCTCCTCTTGACAGCCATCTTCCCAGCAGGTACCAGTGGCATGAAGGGAAAACCAGCTGCACAACTGGGTCGTTGCCACAAGACCAAGGCACTGGGGAACTCGGGGTGCTCCGTGACCCCCAGCCAGGATTTCCAGCTCTGCCAAGGTGACCAGGTAGGGTGGAGTCTCAGGCTCACTCTCACGGTAGGAGGAGATGCTGGGGAATGGGCTAGATCCCCACCTTCCTGGTTCGAAGCACCTCCTGCCCTGCCCTGGGCACATGGGGATAAGTCCTTGAGGTGCCAGAGACCCCGGCCCCATGCTTCAGGTCCTAGAGCCTCTTGTGGGCTAAAGAAGGGGAAAGGCCATGCAGAAGGATGGCTGATGACCATGGACTTGGGCTTGGTGGCGGGTATTTTCTGGAATTTACAGTCTTGGGTGAGGATTTTCCCCAAATTCACCTTGGTTGCATTCTATACAACACAGTAGATGGTCTGCGACACTCCAGAGACCAGGATGGTCAGGGATCAGGATGAGGTTGGGTTGGGGAGGGAGAAGAGGAGGTCCCAGGGCAAGGGGAGCACATCCCTGTGTGAGAAAGTCCTTGGGAAATAAACCTTTGGATGAGGGGAGGAATACTTGAGTGACAGCTAAAGGGAGGGGTTTATGGTGTCATAATTTCTCCCCTTTGGAAACTGAACTAGGGGTGGGGCAATTCAAGTGACCCACAGGTCCCAGGCCCCAGCCCCTAAGCCCCTTGCCCTCTGCCCTCTAGTTCTCCTCAGGTTACAGGCCTCTTCCGGACACAATGCAAGCTCATGGATCTTCCTGTGCCAGCTGGCCATGCCCCTTGACATGGGCACCAACCAGGTCCTCCCTGCTGGCCTGTCCTCAGCGCCTGGACCTATGCTTGTACGCTGTGCAGCTGGCAACCTTGGGCACAGCCCCACCAGGTCTCAGAGAGGACACTACAACCATGAGTAAGCCCAGGGCACGGGCTGGACCGGCACCTTGGTGGAGGACTGGGGGAGACAGACACGAAGAAGTTTCAGGATGGCAGGGAGGGGACTTGGGGTCACTGGTGAGGTCCTTTTACTTCTACCTCTTGTCCTGAAGTTCTCTGATGTGTTGGGATCTTTTCCAAGAGGGTGACAGCTGAGCCAGAGGAGGCGGGCAGTGGCTTTCTTCTGCATAGGAAGGGAACAGGTGTAGCTGAGGTTGCAGGGTGGTGGGGACAGTTCCTCGTTTGCTGCAAGTTAGGGAGCAGGGCTGAGAGTCCCACTTGTGCTGGTTGTGTCCCTTCTAGTTCCAGGACTTTGGGCACACCGCAGAAGTTAGCTGTCACTCATCCCTGCATTCTAGGTGTGCTACATTGTAGGGTACCCTTTCTTATGTGTCCGAGAACTCCTGGGGAGGTAAGGCCTATCCTGCCGTGTCCTTGATCCTGGAATGCCGGCACAGGACACCGAGAGAAACAGCTCAGTAAAGCTGGCCAGGTGAATAAATGAAGATCCAACCTGACGATCTATTTTTTAAATATTTACCTCTTTTTTTTCTAGTGCTGGGGATTGAACCTAGGGCCCTGCACATGCTAAATGCTCTACCACTGAGCTAGCCCCCTAGCCCTAGGGCTTTACTTTTTATTACTCCTAGCCTTAATGCCACCTCACTGGTGTTATCTCTGCTTCCCTTGCTAGCTCTTCCTCGTACCTTCTAAATATTTTCAAGCCTCAAACTCATCCTAGAGCCTCTCCTTCCCTCCCTTCCCCTTTTCATTTTCTCCCCTCCCGTCTTCTCTCCCCTGTTCTCTGTTCTTTTTTTCTGCCTCTCTCCTGTTCACTTTATCTTAGAATAGCACTGCTGGACTGAACTCCACCCAGCAGCAGGGACCATCCACGCCCGTGCTGTCCAGTACCACCACCCACTGAACACTTTAAATGTGGCTAATGCGACTGAAGAAGTGGACTCTCTATTAAACTTTTTGTTGTTGTTTGATTGTTTCGGAAAGGGTCTGGCTATGTAGTTCAAGCTGGCCTTGAACCCATGGTGATCCTCCTTCCTGAGTGCCGAGATTATAGGCATACACCACCATGTCCAGTTTCAACTTATTTTTAATATAAATTTAGTCACACGTATACAGCAGCTGCCACTTTGGACACACAAGATCTAGTGTCACCCTAATTAATTAATTTAGTTTGTTTGTTTGTTTGTTTGAGATAGGATCTCACTACGTAGCTCAGGCTACATAGCTCAGGTCTTGAACTCGCAGAAACCCTCCTGCCTCAGCCCCCTGAGTGCTTGGATTACACATGTGTACACCACCATACCTGGCCAGTGCCCAAGTTTATGTATCCAGCTCAGACCTCTCCTTCGAGCTCCAAACCAACTTATCCAACTGTCCACTTGACTTCTCCACCAGGATGTCTAATAGGCTTAATAACTGTTTTCTCTCCTTGAAACTGCCCAGCCCTACAGAAAGGCTAGCAGCTTTTAGTGGCAAGTGCAATAGCAGAAGTGCAGCAAGAGAGTCACCTTACCCGAGTTGCCCCCCAGCCTGCAGGCCAGAGTTCTTTCCCAGCCAGGCAGCACAGGGAACAGACCTTTACCCCAGGCTGTGGGGACCTGACCTTATTCCCCTTCCTGCTCAGAGCACCGGGCCCCAGGACTGCACACCAGCTCCACTGATGGTGAAAAGCTCACAGTCAAGTACCCACTAAGCAAGGACAAGATGGAAGGCCAGCCTGAAACAGCTGCCCACGGGGCCCCGTGCCAGTCCCTGACTCCTGGAAACAGCTCCAGTCCAACCTCCCAGCTGAACACAAAGATCCCCAGCCCCTCAGCGTTCCACCCTGGCCCTCGTTCTGTCCCCATCTCCACCGAGCTCCCAGTCCACTTCCTCCCCTTCTTCCCTAGGTGCCCACTTCTCCCGCCTCCGTCTCAGCTGTTCACCTACGGGGCCCTACCTTCTGTCCAATGTCCCCACCTCTTCATACTGCCCCAAGACACTGCCTACCCCACCGTGGCTGTACCCAGCTTGCTGATGACAGCCCATGAACCTGGGCGCTGCAGTGACCCGGAGCAGACCCTGCTTCCCAACCCTGGGCCCTTCCAAGCCTCTGGCCCCACCCTGCCCTCCCAGACCCAGGATCCAGGCCCCGGAGATGACCCAAATCCATCCCTGGGAATGGAGCAGGCTGACATGACAGCACTAGGGAAGCGGACCTCAGTGGGATCCCGGGCCCGGACCTCGGCCCTCCCCTACCCGCTGAAGAAAGAGAACGGCAAAATCCTGTATGAGTGCAACGTGTGCAGCAAGAGCTTCGGACAGCTCTCCAACCTCAAGGTATCTGCCTCCCGGCTCTGCTGCCCCCTCAGTCTTTCAGGGACACCCTTCCCTGTCGGTAGTTTCCAGAATTACAATCTGAGAGTTGGAAAGGTCTCCTGAGCAGCCTCTACCTAGCTCAAGGGACCTTGAACAGTTCATCTGGGGTAGATAGGGGATAAGAAGACACCAACAAAGTCCTCTCTGCCCTAGGGAGACTGTGAAAGCAGCTCGTTTAAGTTAAAAACAGGGAAACTGAGGCTCCTCGTGGGGGGTTTCCCCTGGGTACTATCATTTATTGGTGAGGCTAGGCTTTGATTTCAATCTCTCAAAAAAAAAATTTTTCTTTTGTTACCGGGGATCAAACTCGGGTCCTTGCATTTAGCAAAGCAGGCGGCAGAACCACTGAGCTAAATCCCCGGCCTCAATCTCTTAACATTTAATGCGAAGCTCTCAAACAACCACCAAGCTATTTCCCGGTTAAGTCTGTTTATTTTGTTTGAAGGTCAAATGGTGGAATGGATGGATAGATTTTGGCGAGTCCAGACCACAGACCAGACACAAACCTCTCTCAAGAGGGATCCCACAAATCAGCCCTGGCGGTGTTGGCGTCATCTCCTGCATTATCCAGCAGGGGGTGCGCGTGGTCAAATCGCTCTGTTAATGGTGAAAATTGGCCCCCGCCAAAAAAAAAAAAAAGTTACGGCTGCTGGTTTCTCAAGGGCAGGATTTTTTAAACGTTAACGAGCATCACACAACCCAGACAGCTAATAAACTTGCGGATTTCCAGGCTCTGCCCAGAGACTTTGCCTCATCAGAACTAGGGTAAGGCCTGAGGATCTTCATGTCTGACAAGCCGCAAGATGCTGCTGCTGGCCTACAGATCATACTTTAAATAGCATCGCAGGGCAGGAGAAGAGTGAGAGTATTTTAGAGGTGACAGCCAGGTCAGGAGGGAGGATCCAGAGGTCCTATATGGAAGCAAGCAGAGATGTGGAGAGGATCCGTGGCCCTGCTGTGGCTCCTGGCAGTTGGCAAAATTTCTCCCACACCTGGCAGGTCCACCTGCGTGTGCACAGTGGGGAGCGTCCATTTCAGTGTGCCCTGTGTCAGAAGAGCTTCACCCAGTTCGCCCACCTGCAGAAGCACCACTTGGTGCACACTGGGGAGCGACCCCACAAGTGCCAGGTGAGACCCTCCTCTACTCCCTGTCTCCTGCAGCCTGGGGAGGAGCCCTACGCCCCTGGAAAGATGGCACCTAAGCATCCGTGCCCCAGTCCTCTGAGCAAGGGGAGACCAACAAGGAAAGACGGGGTAGATCTAGGAATGGGAGTTGGAGGAAGATGAACATAACCTCTCTCGGGTTGAGATGAGTGATATTGGAAGAGGGGCTAGAGATGTATATTTGTGGAGGGAGAGTAATGAAGTTTGGGGTCCTGGAGAATTCACACCCAATACTCAGCTCCCAGGGTTGTGGGACAAGTTAGGGCCAGAGTGTATACAGAGTAGGAAAATCATTAAATCAATGTAGATCCCTTCTTCCAGCCAGACCCTATCCCTTGAGAGGGCAGAGGGCAGGGGTTCTCTCAGTGTAGTAGTTAGGAGTCAAGGCTACTGAGTCAGGCTACCTGTGTTCAAATCCTAGCTATGCTCCAACTTGCTGTGCGATCTCTGGTTAGTGGCTTTACACTGAGCAGAGTCTCAGGACTCCCTGGAGCAGACAGACCATGACACTAATTCCTGGCATGTTCAGCCCTAGTTAATGTTTACTGCATCTACGGATGCTGCTATGTGCTCAATGTGATTATCTCATTCCGTTCACCCCAATATAGGAGGTTTGGAATTGATAGTCATATGTTATTGAATAGAAAAGGAAAGCTCAGAGAGAGCTCTCTCATACAAGATCACATAGGGAGTAAAAGAAGGCACTGACCCAGGTCTGCTTAGCTTTCATGTGATAGATACTGTAGGTCTCAGGGAGAAATCCTCGGGAAAAGCTTTCTGGCCTGCACTGAGAGGGAGCTGGGTAGGGTACACTTCTAAAATGGGAGTGGGGAGAGCCAGCCTGGAGGACATAGCTGAGGCCAGTGTCCTTTTCTTGTCAGATGTGCCACAAGTGCTTCAGCAGCTCCAGCAACCTCAAGACCCACCTGCGTCTGCACTCTGGGGACCGGCCCCTCCAGTACCGCGTCTGCCCGAGCCGCTTCGCACAGAATGTCCATCAGAAGCTGCACCATCAACTGTACACGCCTCAGCCCTGCAGCCTGGCTCGCTCCCACTTGTCCCTGGCCTCTCTCACCTGCCTTGCTCAGTGGCACCAGCAAGCACTGGATCTTGTTGGCCAGCCCTCAGAGAAGCAGATGGGTTGGGATGTGGACAGGGTCAAAGGTGTCCTTGGTATCCAAGGGAAAGCAAGTGCAGCCAGCCTGAGCCAACACTGCTCAGGGGAGGAGGCATGGGGGCATGGGCAGAACAATGAAAGGATTTTCAAAATGATGAGTTGAGGCTTCCAGTGCTTCCACAGTGAGGGGGTCACTGGGTACTTGCTGAATTTCACACTTTACCCAAGAGCAGGTCAGAGGACACAGCCAGGAGAGCCTGTGCATGGGTGGGTACCTGCAGCCATCTACCTAAGGCTGGGCTTGGGGTCTGCTCCTTATTGGTGACCAGTCCAAAACCAAGCCCTCCATTTCAGATCGACAGTTCAGCCCTTCAGGACTCTGCCAGGTGCAGGTTGTGCTGCCCAGGACAGGGTGTTTTGCCCTCTTTCCTGAACAGCTTTCCCAAGACCTGTCCATATGTCCATCTGCTGCTTCCTGTCACCTCTCATCTCAGTCCCTCCTCAGTCACCAGTGCCCTCAGCTGATCCATCCTGCCATAGTGTGCTCCTCCTCGTGAAGGTAGCATGAAAGAGGACATAAGATGTCACCTCCCACTCATGACCCGTAGGCACGATGCCCCCTGCATGCCAGGATTGGTTACCACCCAGGGCAAAGGCTAAGAAGGTGCTGAGTTCAGGGGCTGGGACTCTCCCGAGGCCTATCTCCCTTTGGACCCAGGAGATCTTAAAAGTTCAAGGTGTCCCCCCGCCTCCCCGCCCCCCGCAACAGTTGGAAGCGTCAGGTGGGAAACATCACTGCCGGGAGCCAGGAGGCCAAGGTTATAACCACAATAAATGAAGACTATTATTGATGACTAATTTTCAGACAGTGTGGGGTTCACCCACCGACTTCCGGAAGGAGCATCTGCTCTGGGTGGCTCCAGGACAGAAGCCTCGCAGGGAGACCACCACTGCGGGGCAACAGAAACGTGGGCTTCGACTCCACCACCAACGGAGGTTGCAAGCTCACACTTCAACCCTGTGGCCCAGAGCCGACGCCCACCCTCTGGTTAGGCCCCGCCCAGTCGACAAGACCACGCCCACGCAGGCTCTAACTCCCCCTCCCTAGCCCCGCCTCGGGTCGCGACCTGCTCTAGGGAGCAGCTTCTCATCCGCGCGTCCTCGGTTCCTGCTCTCCCCAGTCCCCCAGCCCTCTCTTTCCACGCCCCGGCTCCCACAAGGCCAGCTATCCTGGTGTTCACTAGATCTGCCCCTATCGCCTCCAGAGGCCTGAAGAAGCACCCCACACGGAACTGCGAGCAGGGACCGGGGTGTCCCGGAGCTGCAGTCCCCGAGCGCATCCCGGCTCAGCGCTGGGGCAGGATCTGGCTCCTGTCCTGGCCGCCACTCTTGCGGGCGGGGCTGCTGTTTGCTCAGGGTGGGTGGGTGGGGCGGGCGGGAGGAGGAGGTCTGTACGGATGGAG